AGGAGCAGAGAGGTGGAACTTACAAGTCATAAAAAGTTAAAGTGAAGAAATGACAGGAGAAGAAACATAACATGAGTTAATTGATTTTGGAACAAAGGCATACTCAGGAATTTATATGAAAAAAAGAATTAAGATCATCAACAGTGTCTGTCCTGGATCAAGACCTATGTCACCAAATGAAAGTAGTTGTTCCTGTGAGCCCTGAAATCATAAAAGTAAAGGCAGCCAGATTCCATAAAGTGGTTCCTGTTGTAGGTAAACGTTTACTCATTTTTTATCCCAAACAGGAAGAAGCCAGAATTTTACATGGAAAAGAATAATTAATTTTTTTTTAAGTAAGAAAACTTAGAATTGATATATAATCATAGTCCAGGATGTGTTTAGTGGATTTTTTTTATTATTTTCTGTACATCATTTTCATCAAATAAACTTTCCAAAAATACTCTGTACAAATGTGTGTTTCCATACAGTACTTGTGAATATAATTTATATAGCTGTTACAAATAAAATACTAATTTTTTAAAAAAAAGATATATGAATGACATTTGGGGTATAAATTCCTGAGTCAAAACCCAAGCAATATGTTTGCTGGGGAAGAAAGCACAGGAATGGCCAGTCATAATTAAGAAAATTTTAGTTTATGTCTGAAGGCCACAGAGATCTCTTCTTTCCCTAAATGCAAGCCAAATTACACCAGAAGGAAACTTTAAAACAGATGAAAACTCTTGATAACACTTAGCTCAAAGCAAAACAAAACCTCATTGCTATCAAGTTAGAACCATCTGATAGGTGACCTTCCAGTGCATTTATGAAGGCTTGGAAGCAGGAGTGGCATCCACTTCCATAATAGCTTGCCTCTGGAAAGCCTACGAACCTGGAGAGAGGATGAAAGTCACACAAGCATTGAGGACTCTCCTTCATAGGGTTGCTATGAGTCGCCTGTAACTAGACAGCACTTAACAACAACATCCATCCTTCAGGATGAGATTGCCCATCTTTCTCCTGTGGAACTGCTGGTGATTTTGAACAACTAGAGGGGCATATAGCAGTTCAGTGTCCTATAGACTATGCTACTAGAATTTTTTAATAAAATTTGTTGTTGTTGTCAAATGCCATCTTGTCAGCTATAATTCGTAGCACCCCTATGAACAATGTTTAGAGATCTTGTACTGTCATGTACCATCCTCACAATCTTCAACATGTCATCATGCTTTAGCCATACTTGCTGGTGTATGCTTGTTGAGTCTGAACTGTGGATTTTAGTGGCAGTTAATCGCACAGGAGGAGATTGTCCATCCTTCTCCCAATGGAGCAGCAGGGGGAAGGGATAAATTCTCCTTTTAACACATAAAGGGAGGAGGTGGGAATCTCAAAGAAACTAAGGGATTTGCTCTAGATCATAGGGTTAACAGGTAACAGAAATAATGTTTGTTCAAAGATAATTTTTATTTGAACCTCTCTCCCTGTCCTTCCTTCTATCTTGGGTATGCAATGATGTTTTTTTCTAGGTCTAGCTAAGTCTTTTCTATCTAGTTTCAAAAAATGAGATCCATGTTTAAAACATCCTGTTTTGATCCCACGTGAGGATTCTTCAACACATTAAATTTGTTTCCTTAGCATTTTCTTGCTGCTTTGCTCCCACCCTCATCTTCAGGTAGTAGAGTTTCTCAGCCTGTTGTGTGGCCTTCTTCCTGAGCTAAGAGGCATGAGAACTCCCTCAGGAATGCTCATATTCACCTGCGATCCATGAGGACTCCCCAGGCATGCTTAGCCTCAGCAGAAGTCCTTGAGCTCATTTTTAAAGAAGCTGCAGATCTATTTAAAAAGGCACTGTGTTTTACAGAATATTCTTGTAGCCGAGCTACTGTGGATCCTGAGTTCTGACTGAAAATATGCATTCCTGTGCCTTTACCTTCAAGCTGCTGCTGATCAGGTACAAAGTACAAATGGAATTATATAGAACAAGAAGCCAAGAACACAGAGAAAATTGGAGCTAAGACCCTGAACCTAGTCTTAGATTCTGTTCTTCCTATACAGGTTCTGAGAGGTGATTGAACTGGAAAGAAGAGACTTGAAGCAATTAGTCTGGGCTTTATCCACATAAGTAGCCTTATAAGAACCAACATCACCTATTTGGAACATTAATTCCTTTCCAATTTAAATAGGAGTTGTTATCTCTAGAGTTATTACCTTAAAATTGTAGTAGAAGAATTAGCAAAATGAACTTATCAGAGTTCTGTAAAACAATTAAGCTTTTTATTCATGTGAAAGTGATGATTGTCTTTGGAAGAAATTTTGTAGATTGGAAATAATATTGATGCTGATAATTATAAACACTTTTATGTCCCCTTATATTAGGAATATGAATCCATGAGAGTCAAGGTATCAATAGAATCACTAATCAGTCTATCTTCCCTCCCTCTCTACCAGAAGCCCTACAGTGAATTCTCCCAGCAAATTAGGCCTATGGAGAAATTCAGAAGTGAAAAATTCTCATAAAGAATCAGATGCCTTTTTTCCTGATCCATTATTTAGTATGTGAATATCTGAGGGGGAAAAATTAGATAATTGAACTAAGAATTAATCTGTTATTTTACTTTTTTTTTTGGCTGATTCCTGTATTTGTATATTTATTCGACAAACTTAAAAATTTATTGTGAATCAAAACTAGCTCATAGCTGACCTTCCCGTGGGTTTTCAGAGGCTGTTAATCTCACAGGAGGGTTGCTTATTTTTGTCTTGCAAAGGGACTGGCAGAACTAAACTGTAAGAGAGGTGCCAGCTTTGTGGTGTGCAAAAGACTATGCCAAACATTCAGGAAAGGTTATAAGGTTTCAAGTCAGGGCAGTGCTATGCTTGATATGCGCTAGTGACATAGATTTTATTTTTTCTCTCTCTGGAGCTCACTGTGACTTGAACTTGCCTTTTTATTTTTCTTCTTCATACCCTGCACCTACCAAAATATAAAATATGGATGAAGTGTATTTGGATGTGGTAGAGGAAATAGCAGGAATAGAATAGTATGAAGATCTGTTTTCACTAAACAGACCTAATGGCCTTTGCCCTTCCGAAAACAGTAAAACAAAGTTTTAAATGTTTCTTCTTTTCTTAAGCTTTCAAAAATGTCTGAGAGTAAGAAGTATCGAAACCAACCTTACTGTGGATCTTTTGGCTAAAATACAATACAAATATTTAAGGGGTTTTTTTATCCTTTCTCTACTGATAAAAGGGTTTGGGGTTTTCTTTTTTGTTTCATTCTTTTAAAAAATTATCTTGCACTCTCAATCACTCAATTTTCAGAGAAAATAACATTGTTGTTTGTACCTCTCATATTTACTTTCCATATGCTGTCCACTTTTTTGCTTCTTAGCCCTCTCCAAAATTATTCTCTCCAAGATTCCTTTTCCCCTCCTCTGTTCTTCTCTGCTAAGTGTTCCTCCATGTATCTATTTCTTGTTTCTCCTTTAGAATCATAAAGCAGGAAGATTTGTTTCATTATATTATTGTGTTATAAGTTTTTACTTGAAGTCTGAGTGGTAAAATTTAGGTATGAATCTTCCTTTTGTCTTCTCAGCCCTCAGTGTACTACTTCTGAGAAGGATATCTTTTGAACAAGCACTCTCAGTCCCTCATTCTACTTATTAATATTCTTATTTCTTCATTCAAACTACATATTTCCTCAGAGAGGAAAACTATATAAAATAGGAACTTTTTATCTATTCCTTGCCAGCCACTGATGGCTTAAGCCGTTAGAGCAATTACCCTACATTTTAATCTCAAATACATTCATCTCTGTAGTAATGAATCATAAAAGAGTCATATCAGAGATGGTGATGATGGCTTAACAGGACAGGTTAATGTTCACAGCTGTTGTTCAATGAGGTCTCTATGAGTCCACGCAATGGTTCCTAACAACATTCCTCTACCAGATTTTTGCATTTTTTTAGCCTGTCTACAGTCTAATTTATTAGAAGAAAAAGATGGCCTCGCAGAGTGGAAGGCAAGGTTTATGTCTGTGTGCTAAGTCAAAGACCCAAAGGCATTATTTGCTCTGAAGCCTTCAGATTCTTCCTCATTCTAAACTATAGATCAAAGATTTTCATGGTCATTTCAACTTTTTCTTCTTTGCTCCATGACTTCACATCTGGCCCCAATTTAGCTGTCCTGATGTTTCCTGTTACTCAGAATCAATCAAGCTTAAAATTTCTTTCCCAGAATTACTTTTTTCCCTAAAGGTCTGTGGCTTCTCAGCCTTCAGAACCACCCTTTACCTCATCATCCAACAAAATCTTTTTTTTTCTTTTTTTTTATATTACTCTGATTTATTTACAAAGTTTGAATACATGGTTTTTCACAAAAGATCCCGTCCATTTCCTTCACCCATATCATATATAGATAGAGGAGAGGCATATCTCTGGTCAAAATTTATAAATTCAAGGATTTCAGTAAAAAATTACTGACACTTGCTCTGTGTTCCACAGTAGACTAGGTATAAAATACAGCAAAAACAATCCAATTCCTCAAGTAAATCACAAAATGTGAAGGTATATTTCATGCATGTGATTTTAGTAAATAATTATGCCAAATGCATGCCACACTAATTTTTAGTATATATTATAAAGACTCTCAATTTTTTAATGATTGAATTGGAGATTTATCAGGCAGGAATAATACTTATGAGATAAAAACCATTTCCAACAACTACTTTAAACCTCTAAGAGGCAGCTCTTTTAGACTGAGAGGGTAACACTGGTAAAACTCCCTTCATTAGGATAAATCTCATAACATTCATGGGTTATCGAAATCTCTTATAACTGACTCTTTCCTATACACTCTAGGAAAAGGCTTGTAGATTAAGTCTCCCAATTTTTTCCATTTTATCCACAGAACCTTCCTGGCTCAGTTGTCCTGAGACATTTAAGTAATTAGCAATTCCGTCTTAACCTTCTTAAGGAATTTCATTTGTTATTGCAGATGGGTGAAACTGAGATTGTGAAACCATGGCAATCACTTTTAACAGCAGCCTCGAAAAAGCCACTTTCTTCCTGACAGGATTCCAAGGTCTGGAAGATCTCCACGGCTGGATCTCTATTCCCTTCTGCTCCATCTATTTGACAGTGATTATAGGGAACCTTACCATCCTCCATGTCATCCGCACTGACGCCACCCTCCATGAGCCTATGTACTATTTCTTAGCTATGCTGGCCCTCACAGATTTGGGCCTTTGCCTTTCCACCCTGCCCACTGTCCTGGGAATCTTCTGGTTTGATGCCCGGGAAATTGGCATCCCTGCCTGCTTCACTCAGCTCTTCTTCATTCATACTTTGTCTCTGGTGGAATCTTCAGTTTTGTTGTCCATGTCCATTGACCGTTATGTAGCCATCTGCAATCCGCTACGTTATTCCACCATCTTAACATCTTCACGCATTATCAAGATGGGATTAACTTCAGTGCTTAGAAGTGCCCTCCTCATCCTCCCCCTGCCATTCCTCCTCAAACGCTTCCATTACTGCCGCTCCCATGTACTGGCACATGCTTATTGTCTGCATCTGGAGATCATGAAACTGGCCTGCTCTAGCATTATCGTCAACCACATCTATGGACTCTTTGTTGTAGCATGCACGGTGGGCGTGGACTCGCTCCTCATCTTTCTCTCTTACGCCCTCATCCTACGCACTGTATTGAGCATAGCCTCCCGCCAGGAGCGGCTCAGAGCCCTCAACACCTGTGTGTCCCACATCTGCGCTGTACTCCTCTTCTACATTCCTATGATTGGCTTGTCTCTTGTGCATCGCTTTGGTGAGCATCTGCCTCGTATTGTACATCTCCTCATGTCTTATGTGTATCTCCTGGTACCGCCTCTCATGAATCCCATTGTCTACAGCATCAAGACCAAACAGATAAGACAACGCATTGTTAAAAAGTTCGAGTTTGTGAAGACACTTAGGTGTTTTCACCAGGATTAGGTTAAAACAATGCCATGTTTGATCATAAAACCTTTAAAATTTTCATTTCAACAAAGCTATGGTAAAGAAAAATAACTGCACACAACAGAAAAGGGTACATACTGACTGTGTGACTTAGGAATAGTTACCTGCTTCTCTATTCATGGATGAAAATTATTACATTTTTGTCATGTGGACATTTTGTAGATGAAATGAAATAAACTATGGACATTTCTTAATAAAGTATCTGAGGTATATCAAATTCTGAATAAACAGTAACTATTATTATTTGAGAAAATCCAGAAGAATATATTGCTTTTCATTCTCCTAGGTAATATTACCTATGATCTATCTTTATTTTTTCAAAAAAGGTCTATTTTAAATTAATTTTCATATGTATTCCCAATATAAAAAATAAATAAAATTTTAAATTAGTCTTCTCTTTAAATTTTAAAATTTTGTTTTATATAACTTTACTAAAATGTTTATATTTTTAATTATAAAAATGTGTTATATGTTAAAATCCTTTTACAACAGCATTTCACACGTGTTTATTCACTCCCCAATTAGTGATGATCTCTATTAGAATGACTTTTTATGAGAGTTCTCACTAAAAACATATCTACAAAAATAAGAAAACAAGTTCAAATCCACCAGATTCTCTGCTGGAGAAGGAGGAACAATCTCCTCCTGTATCTGTCAGATCTGTTTTGATGGTACACACAAAAAATAATGAAATAAAATTTTAAAAAAAAGATAAGAAAACAAGTGGCCTATTGGCAAGAGCCTGCACTGCAATCCAGAGAGCATGAGGTTCGAATCCATTAGCTGCTCTGTGGGAGAAGGATGGGCAGTCTTCTCCTGTGTAATTTACTGCCTTTGAAAATCCACTGGAAGGTCGGCTGTGTGTTGCTTCTGACTCAAAAATACACAACAAGGAAACGGGTAGACAAATACAATTGGAAATAAAGTTGGAAAAACATAAAATTGGAGGGAAGAAAATATTCACAGGTAATTCCCAAATGGGATAGACTTAAGATCAAATTTTGGTTCCCATGAACTTGATTTAATTTTCCTCAACTTCAGCTTGAACTTGCATATGAGTAGTTGGTGGTCTGTCATAGGGTTTTGTCTTAAGGTCACAGGGCTGATTTTCGTGTAACCTTTCTAACTCAACTCTTTGTCATGCAATTGGTTTTCAGGGGGTTATAAACAACCCAGGAGGAGATTTTCCATCCTGCTTTCTCAGAGCTGGTGGTGGATTTGAACTACCAGAGAGGCACTGTCTTTAGGATAGCAGTGCAACTCCTTACAGACTAGGCCACCAGAACTCAAGCAACTCGATGGCACATAACAACAACAATGCCCAAATAAAGACTTTGCAACCCAGAGTAACCCTCACCATTCAGTGAGAAAGTCAAGGTGTTTGTTTTATACCATTTTTTGTCCTCTACATTGTTAAAGTATTACTTTATGTATTACTTTATGTTTGTTTGCTAGATATTTTTCACATTTTTTGTGTTCAGCCACATGCCGAGCAACACATAGCCAGGAAAATTCTGACTCCAATTTTTCAAAGACATATCTGCTTGTTCTTTCAACAATCGCTTTAATACTCTTCTCTACCACAATTCAAAGGTATCAATTCTTGCTCTATCATATTTATTCATTACCAAGCTCTCAGATTCATAGATTGTGACTGAAAAGATCATGGCCTGAATCAAGGGTACTTTAGTCTTCAAACTGACATCACTGATCCTCAGTACTTTGGAGATGTCCCAAAGAGATCTCTTTTTGTATTGAGAACTTACGCATTACATCTCCTGATCTACTGACTGCTGTTACCAAGGGTGTTGATTGTGGATGCAAGTAAAAAGAAATCCTTGACAATTTCAATCTTTTTCCACCTGTCATGATGCTGTTTATCAGTCCAGTGGTGAAGACTTTCTGTCGTCTTGCTATTGCAATGCAATTAATAATGAAGGCTGAAGTCTTTGATCTTCTACAGGAAGTATTTCAAATCCTCCTCATTTTCAGGAAAGCAAGTTTGTGTCATCTATATAACACAGGTTGTTGATGAGTTCCCTCTGATCTTGATGCCACATTATTCTTCATAAAGTCTAGCTTCTCAAATTATTTTCTCAGCATACAGACTGAATAGGTATGAAAAAAAAACCCAACAAAACACAGTTATAATGCACGTTTCCTGATTTAAAACCACGCAGTATTTAAAACCTTGCTTTGTTTGGACAACAGGTTCTTGGTCTAGATATAGGCTTCATTTAAGCATAATTAAGTCCTGAAATTCTTAGTCTTCTTAATAGTAGCTATACTTTGTTATGATCCACACAGTGAAATGCCTTTGCATAGTCAATAAAGCACAGATGGTTTCCTCCAGGAATAGGCATCCTTTCTCCATTTCTATTCAATCTGTATGCTGAGCAAATCACTCTATGAACTGAACTATATGAAAAAGAATGTGGTATCAGGATTTGAGAAAGGCTCACCAACCACCTGTGATATGCAATTGACTTCATCTTGCTTGCAGAAAATCTTAAGACACTTGTATCAAGATCAAAAACTATAATCCTCAATATAGGTTTTGCATCTCAACATTAAAAAAATAAAAATCTTCATCACTTGACAAATATGCAATATCCTTATTGTTGTTGTTGTTGTTGTTGTTGTTGTTATGTGCCATTGAGTTGCCTGCAACTCATAGTGAACCTATGTGCGAAAACCCTAAACCCTTCTCTATCCCTTGCCAATTTTATTGTCTCTGACACGCCTATCCCCATAACCCCAGTGACTTAATCAATCCATCTCATTGAGGGTATTCCTCTCCTATGCTGTCCCTCCACCCTCTGAAGTATGATGTCCCTCTCCAAGGACTGAGCCCACCTTCAACATGTCCAAAGTATGTCAAATGAAGTTTCAGAATCCTTGCCTCCAAGGAACAGCCTGGCTTCACCCTTTCCAGGAAGAACTTGTTTGTTCTCCTAGCAGTCCATGGTACATTCAATATACTCTTCTCTAGCATCACAGCTCAAAAGCATCAACTCTCCTTCTATCATCCCTAGTCCTTTTCCAGCTCTCTGATGTATAGCAAGTAATTGCAAAGACCGTGACCTATATCAGTCACACCTTAGTCTCCAGACTGACATCATTGCTCTTCAGTACTTTGGAAAAGTCTCTGACAGCAGAATTTCCTCAATGCAATTTGTCTTTTAATTTCCTGTATGCTGGTACCAAGAGTGTTGATTGTAGAGCCAAGCAACCTGAAGTTGTCAACATTCTCAATCTTTTCACCATCTATCATGATGCTGCCAATCCTAGTGGTGAGAATCTTTGTTTTCTTGATGTTGAGATCACTTCATAGTGAAGGCTGCAGTCCTTGATCATCTGCAGCAAGCGCTTCAGGTCCTCTTCAGTTTCAGCAAACAGGGTTGTGTCATCTGCATAACACACAGATTGCTGATGAGTCTACATCTGATCCTGATGCCACACTTCTTCTCATAGAGCCCAGCCTCCAGGATAATCTGTTCTGCATATAGATTGAAAAGATACGGAGATAGGATACATCCTTGATGCATATCTTTCCAGTTTTGAACCATCCACTATCTTCTTGCTCTGTTCTGACAACTGCCTCATAATAGATGCAGAAAAGATTGAAGTTGCCAATGATTTTATTTTACTTGGATCCACACTCACATTCCACTGTAATAGCATCCAAGGAATCAAAAGATGTGTTACATTGGAGTGATCTTCTGTTTAAGACCTTTCCAAAGTTCTAAAGAACAAGGATGTTAGTTTAAAGACTAATGTATGCCCAATCCAATCCATGGTATTTTTAACTGCATGTAAAAGATGAGCAATGACTAACGAAGACCAAAGAAGAGTCCATGGTTTATATTTGTGGTGTTGGCAAAGAATACCAAATACACCAGGACTCCTAACAGAACAAGCAAACCTCTCTTGAAGGGAGTGTAACCAGAGTGCTCCTTGGAAGCTAGGTGGTAAAACTTTGTGTCACTCACTTGGTGCACATGTTTAGGAGGAACCAGGTCTTGGAGATAGACAGCATTCTGTGATAAGTAGTCAGCAAAAAGCAGAAACCATCAAAGACATGGATTGACACAGTGACTATCACAATGGGCTTGACCATGACAGAAAGAGAGAAGATGGTTCAGAATAGGGCAAAGTTCAGAACTGTTGTTCTTAGGGTTTATATGATTCATAGTCAACTCAAAGGTACCTAATAATAGCAACAACATATATATGAATTATTAGATTCTTAACATATATGTGATTCCAATTGTTTTTGTTGTTATATGCCATTTAGTTAGCTGTGACTTGTAGTGACTCTGTGTAAAACAGCCCTAAATCCTGCTCTATCCTTTGCTAATTTTATTGTCTTCAACACATTTATCCCCATTACACCAGTGGCTGAATCAATCCATCTCATTGAAGATCTTCATCTCCTGCACTGTCCCTCCACCCTCCCAAGCATGACGTCCCTCTCCAAGGACTGATCCTGCTTTGCAATGTCAGATGAAGCTTCAAAATCCTTGCCTCCAAGAAGCAGCCTGGCTTCACCCTCTCCAGGACGAACTTCTTTGTTCTCCTAGCAGTCCATGGTATATACTTTTCTCCAGCACCACAGCTCAAAGGTATAAACTCTCCTTCTATCATCCCTAGTCA